TTAGCTTAACAAAATGACGCCCGCCAATGTAGTCAAACTCGCGCTTTAAAACTTAAAAACTCGCTCAATTCCATAAATTAGAATTTGACTACATTGACGCCCGCTCAATTCCATAAATTAGAAAAGCATGTAAAACTCGCTCCCCAAGCAAAACTCGTCAATTAGGAAATAACTAAAATAATTATTATTAAATAAAAGTTAAATAATGATATCGGGTTCAACTCGTTTTAGCCGGGTCAAATCAGGTTGAATACATATGAATTTGGGTTCAGTTATTTTAAGGCTTAATACCACTAGGAAACCCGAACTATCAACTTTGTGTCATTTGTGTCCTAAAGTATTCGATATGACAATTGTGTCCTGAACTATTTCTCCGTTAGAGTTGACCGGCGTTGACCGTTAGTTTTTAACAGAAAATTCAGTATGCGCTTATGTGGCATCTGAAGTGGAATTTATAATATTAATTTATAATTATTTTTCATATAAAAAAAGAAAATTACAAAAATACAAAAATAAAAAATAAAACCCCATCTCCATCGGCGGGAGACGAGGCGCTTGAGGATGAGGTTCAAGTGTTTGGGCAGAGGGTTGAAGTTGAACTCCAGCATCGTGTGGAATGTTACCAGAACCTTGTCCGGTAAATTGGACTCTCCATAGATCTTGATTAGAGAAGAGAAGAGAGCCGGCGTTACTGGGTAGCGCTTGGATTTCAGATCGCCGACGAGAGCGTCGATGAGGGAGATGTGCTTGGATTCCCCGAGCTTGCGGATGAGAACGACGTAGGAAGGGTAAGAGTGCTGGAAATTGGGATGGAGAGAGGCGTAATCGAAGATCTCTTTGGCGAGGAGAGGATCCGAATGGGAAGCCCGACGGTGGACAGTGGCGGTGAACCAAACCCTAAAATTTGGGGATTTTTTTTGTATTCGACGGTGGACATCGGACAATGAATTCAATTTGCTTGCCTGCAGCGAACGGTGGCGTCGAAGGTGAAAGCGACGAGGAAACTACCGGGATTCTCCTCGTCCTCCTCGATCCGAATCGTCTCCTTCTTGACGTTGACGTCGTTCCTGATCGTCACGGCCTTCTGGTGCTCGACGGAGAAGGAGGAGGGTCCTGGGGAGTTTTGTGTTCTTGTTTCATCGATTCCCGCCGCCGAAGAAGACGATTCATCTCCCTCTCGCCTCTATTCTTCGACTGACCTAGCGCAGCAACCAGCCACACAGATCTCTCTCTCTCTCTTACTGGATTTGGCGGTGACGGAGGAAGAAGGGAAGATGGTCGATGTCAAGAGGGAGGGAGAGCTGTTTTTTCTTTTCTTTTATTTTTTTAAGTGACATAAAATATTAAACAAAAATTAGGTTTAATCATTTTTATAACAATATATTTTTTTATTTAATTTTTAATTAAAATATGAGGTGTCACTGACGTGGCATCTACGTGGCTGCCACGTCAACAAAAGTCAATGTTAATGTTGACTTCCGTTTGGTCAACCGTTATATATAACGGTCAACAAAATCGTCAGGACATAAATGACACAAAACTATAATAGTTTGGGACACAAATGTCGTATCGAATACTTTAGGACACAAATGACACAAAGTTAATAGTTCAGGTTTCCTAGTGGTATTAGCCCTTATTTTAAGAGGAAATAACTACCCAACCCGTCAATTACAAAAGTGGGTAAAACTCGTTTCCGACCCAAAATTCATCAAAACTGAATTCAAATCGCTTTGCCCGACTTGATAAAGCGGGGAAAGTTATTAACAAAATTCAGATCCGACCACATTCGTTAATTACAAAAGCGGGTAAAATTCGTTCCCGATCCAAAATTTGAGAACACTATATTCAACTCGCTTTGACCGGTTTGATAAAGCAAGGCAAGTTTTTAACGAAATCCACACCCGACCCAACCCGTCAATTACAAAAGTGGATAAAAATCATTCTCGTCCAAAAGTTCGTCAACATCGGGTCCAACTCGCTTTGACCGAGTCGAATTAGGTCGAATACCCATTGATTTAAGTTTAATTGTCATAAGTTAATTAATTAGAACCTTAATGAAAATTCGTCAATATCGGGTCCAACTCTCTTTGACCTGGTCGAATTTGGTTGAACACGCATAGTTGTTTTAAAAGGAAATAACTACCCAACCTGTAAATTACAAAAGTGGGTAAAAATCTTTTCCGACTCAGAATTTGTCAATATTGAATTCAACTCGCTTTGCCTGACTGGATAAAGCGGGGCGAGTTATTAACAAAATTCACATCCGACCCAATCCATTAATTACAAAACGGGTAAAATTCTTTCCCGATCCAAAATTTGAGAACACTATATTCAACTCGCTTTGATTGGCTTGATAAAGCGGGGCGAGTTATTAACGAAATCCACACCCGACACAACTCGTCAATTACAAAAGTGGGTAAAATTCGTTCCCCTCCAAAACTTCGTCAACATCGAGTCCAACTCGCTTTGACCAGGTCAAATTAGGTTGAACATGCATAGTTTAGGGCCTAACTCTCTTTGACCGGGTCTAATTAGGTCGAATACCCATTGATTTGGATTTAATTGTCATAAGTTAATTAATACTTTAATGAAAATTCGTCAATATCGGGTCCAACTTGCATTGACCGGGTCGAATTAGGTCGAACACCCATTGATTTTGGTTGAATTATCATAAGTTCATTAATTAGAACCTTAATGGCACAAAAATACCTTCAAACTTTGATTAATTACAAAAAGATCACCCTTGTGATATGACTCTATAGAATAGTAACTCTTCTACAATATCTCTTAGAAAACCTTTTAGAAAGGGCTATAAATATTCCCCTCAACCACCAATTGAGGACATATCCTTATTGAGGTTACTTTGTCGACAAATAAACTAACCAGAACCAGAAACGATCTGCAGTCTCAGTCTGCAAAACAACATCTTCGACATCATCTTTGCCCTTAGGATACCATTTCACAGAAGCTAGGTTTCTCATCTTCCCAAGTGATGTACTCCTTTGATTCTACCCCCTTGAGTGGCTAGTTCGTTAGTTGTGTAGGTTAGTGAACCCTAGAGATTCCTCGAATAATGTATTAGTCAATTTTTATATAATATATATATATGGTAGGCTAGCCTATGCCTAACATACACTGACCTTACCGTATGCCCATCGTGTTTTGCCATTTAGACGATGAATTAACCGTACTTTGAGGCATGCTACTATACTCTTACCTCTAATGGATGAACCCCAATCCTTAATTCTATAATCCAAACCATAAGATCATTTAATCACAAAATAATAACCGACAGTTCCAATTCATTGAATTTATTGCAGTGCATCTAATAAATGTGAACGCTAGCATATATCATACACCATGTGTATGCTACCCTTTGCAATATATTATATATTTATATTGATTGTTTAAGTATTCTCCTTTCTATGTTTATTGCATATCATGCGTTTGTCGATTATATTAGGCGGATCATAAAAGGGAAGTCCTTACGATTTTGTGCATCAATGCAATACAGGTCTGACAACAGCCTTTGTTGCATGACATAGCATATACAATTAGTTAGCTAACCCACGTGTCGCCCTAATCCATCTCTTATGCAATTCCCCGGTCAGGAGGGATCACATTTCCCGATCAGGGAATACAAGGCAGCAACCGAGGAATCAAAATAGTGAGGCCCCCGACCAGTTAGGTTTAAATCCCCGACCGGGGACCTGAGACCGGGGATCAGCGCTGACGAATAAATTTATCTTTTGTGTTTCGAATTCTTTTTCATTTTTTGCGGTTTTTATTAGTTTTATTTTTCCAAACCTATTTTAAGGGTTGTAACACGAGTTTTAGTAGGGACATTAATTATTAAATATTGAGTTGAACATGGTTCATCGAATTTGCGCTTGTTGTTAGTGGATTCCAATTGCTTGAGTGTTGTCTCTGTATCAATCAAGTATTCCCCTTGATTGTGATCCAGGTGCTATCATTATATTGTTAGAGCCTTTCCCCGATTTCGTGTTGAAGTTGCACGTTCAATTCTAGCTTATCCTTATAGTTTTTGGGTTGTTGAGTAAAGTTCAGAAAACCCTAAAACGATTGTAGTTGCATGAGTTTGATAACTATGGATTCCAGTTCTATGCTCGTATAAAGTGGTATCAGAGATCTGGTTCAAATCAGTGACAAGGAGGAGAAGATCACAAGTTTTCTTCAAGATCATGCAATGGCAGAAGAGTTGGAGCCACAAGGTAACTCGTTCTACACCCATTTGCTTGTTCCAAGAGAAATTGTGTTATCTGGCTGTTGATGGAGAGATCAAATATAATTTGATCAGTTCAAGGGCATTAGCTAAGTTGGGGCTATCCGTAAATGACATCCTAGCCTTTCTTTGTGCAATTGTCGATGGAAAAGGCCTTTGATTTTGTGGCTGAACAAGTGTCTTGGGAGTTCAAATCGGGCATATGTAGATAAGATTCTTTGAGATGTTGTGCCTATGAAGCTTAGTCATGTCGTGCTGGATAAACCATAGCACAATGATCGTCAAGCACGACGAAGCAGCAACACCAACAACATCGTCGTAAGGCATCACAGAAAGAAAATTGCCTTGAGTCCATTATCGATCGGGAAGAGGTTGCTGAAGATAGGAGGCAATTACAACAAGCCTATAAGGAAGAGCAAAAGGTCCAGGAAGTGAAAAATCAGCGACAACAATAGTTGAAGGCTTCCCATATCCCTCCATCACTTTCCTCAGCGAGGGGATTGCCTCCTAGCACAGGGTTGTGCTTACGCTTGATCTGCATCATTAACCAAAGTGATTGATACTTGGTTCTTCCTCAAAGGTAGCTTCCCATCATTAGCAACGCCACTCTCTACAGTGTTTGGCACGATCAACCCCAAAGCAGTATAGAGCAAAGATTGCCAACCGTTGAGATCCTCTACTGTGGAAGGCGGTGTATGATTGTTCACAATCACCGAATCGCCATCGATGGGCAAATGAGTTAGGATGGCGATGTCCTTCAACGAGATGATGCACTCTCCTTCACGAAAGTTGAAGTAGTGTGTCTCTTTGCGCCATATTTCCACCAATGATGTGATGAGTTGAGCATCGATCTTGATGCAAACAAAGTGCCTCATCGTCTCCAAATTTATAACAAACAATTGAAATTAACTAAAATGAATACCATTTGCAAGATATACACATAAATCCACTATAACAAACAAATTCAATTCACTAAAATAAATATAATTTGAAAGATATACACATAAATCTATTATGCCAAACAATTGTAATTAACAAAATGAAGGGTAAAATACCTCGGGTACCACTTAAGTTTCAGAATTGGGCAAGTATATCACTTAAGTTTGAATAGGGCGTCGAGTACCACTGAACTCTATTATTTGTGCACCCGGTACCACTTAAGTTTAATGTTAAGTGCATTCCGTTAAAGTTAATAGAATATTCTTGGAATATTCTGTTTTCTAAATTTCTTAATTGGTCCTTCTACTTTTCTTATTGTAAAAAATCATTTTGACTTATGAAAAACATCAATTTTTATTATTTAATTGGTATCCTCTTTTGAAAACTTTATACCAAATTAATTTTTGAATTGAAAATTTAAAATCAATTATCATTATAAGTATTTTCAATTATCATTATGTTTTCTAATAATTGAATTATTCTCTCTTTTTTTTTAGATTTTGATTCCAAACCAATTTTTGAATAGGAAATGTAGAATCGATTACCATTATAAGTACTTTAAATTACCATTATGTGTTATAATAATTTAATAATTTGCTTAAACAAATATATCCTATAAATTCTATATTGCTATAAATAATTTGAGGATATTATATTTAATTCTCGTACATCATCAGGATGTTGTATAATTTTCTTGGTTACTTTCGTTCTATTTTTGTTCTAAATTTTTTACAATTACTGTAATATGTTTAATTCTTTCTGACTATGTTCCATTTATCCTTCTTTGGTCTTGATGTATTGATGATCTATTAGATTCTATTTTAACTATTTTAATGGTACTTCTTATCGGATAAGCAATTTAAATAGATTTTCTAATATTGATTTTAAATAGATCTTCTAATATTGATTTTCTGACTATGTTCCATTTATCCTCCTTCTTTTTGATATTTTTTTATTATTTTTACTAACTTATCTATTTTATTGACAATTTTGATTAGTCATTTTAGTAATATTATGTTTAGAAGGTTTTTTTAATTTCTATATTAGATAAAAAAATTGTTGAAATATAGTTTGGTTGTTTTAAAAGTTTTGGGTACCAAAAAGTAATTAAAATTTTATCTTGGATGGAAAACTAGACGGATGCACATTTTGGTGACTTTAATGGTACTCGGCGCCCTATTCAAACTTAAGTGGTATGTCTGCCCCAATTCTCAAACTTTAGTGGAACCCGAGGTATAATAGATTTAAGATATACACATACACATAAATCCATTATACCATTTTGTAAATCGTGTTGGTTGTTTTCAATGATTTAAGCTGATACAAGTGAACTCGTTTTGCATTTCAAATTCAAACCGCATGGGGGATGACGATTTTGGCGGAAGAGACGCGGATGGAGGGAGCGGTTGCTCGGATCGCTGAGGTGGTGGATAGTCAACCACTGGATCGAGGGGAGATCCAACGGTAATCCAACCGCCAGCGACCACACGCGGCCTGTTAGCGGCAAAAAAGGAAGCCACGACACCCCCTGTGCTACTCGTTTTATTTGCCATGGAGGGATGTAGTCCTTGTGAATTGGTGATAAAGAGGGAAATTGTTTAAAATGATAGAATTTTTGAATTTTTTTTAGTTTTTGTGTGATATAATGGGAAAACTTCCCCCAATTTGCCGGTGATTACTAGGGTCAGAACGATGAGACTTTGATTAAGTTGGTTGCGATGGCTTTGCCCTTACACGTTATATCTTGCTTTAGACTCTCCCGCTCGCTCTGTCGCTTGTTGGATAAACATGTTGCTCGGTTTTGGTGGGGAGTGGAGGATGGACAGTATAAAAGTCGATGGATGTCGTGGCGAGATATGTGTAGGAGTAAGCATGAGGGTGGGATGGGGTTTCGTCTCTTTGAGCAGTTCAACCAGGCTCTCCTTGCTAAAATTGGGTGGCGAATCTTGATGGATCCAACCTCTCTCCTTGCCCAAGTTTACAAAGGGAAATATTTCTCGAGAGGGACTTTCCTTGAGGCCTCTGCCCGATCCCGTCCATCTTGGGGCTGGCAGAGCATCCTTTTTGGTCGGCAACTGTTGGAGCAGGCACTACGGGAAAAGTGGTCTTTGCCAACACTATATTTGCAACACTTATCAAAAGTGTTGCTTATAATTAACAGTGGCAACACTTCTTTTAAGTGTTACTTAAAATGTACTTTACACAACATAAATCATTCATCACTTGAATTATGTCGCATTTGCTATATTATACACAACACTTATAACCCAAATAACTTTATGTTGCTTATTCCTCCATTTTAAGCTACATTTAAACTAATAATGTTGGGAAAAGTTAAATACATGATAATTAAATGTAATCTACCAATTAATTAATGCAAAACAATTTAATTGCATATACACGTTGCATACTTTGAAGTTTTAATTTCTTGATGTGCATTTACAAAAAAAGATTAATTTAAGCTATAATGAAGACCCTACGTATATGGGCTTCCCCATCAAACTTATTCTCAATTTTAATTTACCAATAATAAAGGAAGAAAACTCTTCCTGTCCAACTCCAAAAACGAAACGGTGGAACTCATGGGAATAGATATAGCGCGGGAATAAGGCCGAATCCCAATCGCGCGCGGGAATCAACTGCTTAATTCCATAGAGCAATTTCTACCTCATCGAATCAGTCTCTCTCCTAGGCTTCTCTTCCAGTTTCGGCTTGAAGAATCTCTCGCACAAAATCCATCTCAAAGGAAGGCTCCCAATTGGATCGTTTAGTCCCGCAAACGATTTGGTCGTGAATCTGGTAAGTTATTCGCCTCTCATCAAATCAGCTTTCCAAACTCCCTAGCAATTGCCTGCAAAGAACAACAAAATGCTTATTGAACTTCTGCTTCATTGATGTGCAGCTACTGACTACTGTGGTGTCTTGTGGCACTATGTTATGCTTGTTATCTTTTGTAATTATTGTTGACTTAAGCTATTTTCTTCCTGCCTTTTGGTTTTCGCCCAACCCTTGAACCCCTTTGAGGATGGATTGGATTTGGGGATGTAGCAACTTGCAACAAGGGTGTGTTCTGTTCTACAGAGTTCTCAACTTCTATGCATTACTAATTAAATAACGAGGAAATTGTACGAGCTTAGGAAATTCCATATAAGTTCTGGAGGAGGACATGGTATTCTTATTTGGTAATGGCTGTGCTTTTTCTTGGGGTCCAAATTGCAAAAAGAAAATTGCAACGACAAATGATTAAAAGAAAAGCATGGTTTCCTTGTTCTTGGTTTGGTTTACCTCATATCAATCTTGCTTGCACTTTTTCTTCTTCCTTCTCTCTATTCCCCTGCGGTTTCCTTCTTGTTCTTTTCTTTTACTTGGTGACATGAGCTTCCAATTCTTGGTAATCAGTTTAGGAGATTACTGTTCTGCAAATTAATTATATGAAACCAATAATGATTACCTGTGGTGCACATGTTAGCTCGACAGTGCATAGGAGATGAGTGAGCACGGTATGATATCTGAATTATGAATGCTCCTGCAATCTTTCTTTGTCTATAACATTTAGTACTTGACTAGCTATTGTTTCGTGTGTGCTGCATCTTAGATTACTTGAGATAAATTTACTGGTTCTAACTCTTTTGGAGTTTTAGTTGCGAGTATGATAGGTTAATCATATGATGGTCCTTGTCCTTACTCTAAATCAGTTCTTCGTGTAATGCTGGATAACATAATAGATAGAAGTAGTTACGAATAGGCAGCAGAAGCTTCATGTTAGGTTGTGAGTTCTTTGTTCAAGCGTCTGCTTGCTGTGTCCTGATTTGTTATGTTCGAATAAGGATAGTTAACCATTTCAGAGTAGCTTAGGAGATTCGTTTTTCAAGCTTCTGCTTGTTGTGTTCTGATTTCTGTGTCCTTCTATTTTTGGGGACAAAATTAAATTACTTGTCTCTCATCCTCTCTCTCTTTCTCAATATGTAATCAAAGAGGAACTGTGGATGATATTTAACTATTTATGTTTCTTCAACTTGATGGAGCTTTTCAATTGATTGAGGACTACTGCATTGGAGAGCTAAAGAAGTAAGATCTGGTTTTTTGGGCTCATATAGCACCGCATTGTATTTGTATAAACTTGTTGCTTCTCCTGGCCATGTTGATGAACTGCACTGTAGCTTTTTTTGCATTTAACATTAGCATTTTTACGGGGAAATCCTTGAGTTACAGCATGTTATGAAGCATGTTATTGAGGAGTAAGAGAAATGGGAAATGTTTCTTTGCTATGTATGATGTATCGACAAGCCTAGAGAAACAAGCAAAACTGATTTTTTTTGCACACTTTAACAGGAGATGAAATATTTTGCAGGTTGCAATTGAAATGTTGGACAAGAGTTGGGTTTCGAAACCACGAGAAAGTATTGCATATCGCAACGGAGTAGAGTACTTTTTGAACTTTGCATTTGCTAATTCAGCTGAGGGAGATCAGATTGTGTGTCCTTGTGTGGACTGTATAAACCTGTTGTGGAAAACAAGAGATATCGTACGTACGCATTTGGTTGTACGTGGATTTGCTCCGAAATACAATCAGTGGACCGACCATGGAGAAAATGATATTGAGGATATAGGAGACACCGAAGGGCTTGGTGATGATGATATGCATGGCCTATTGAATGATGTCTATGCTACGGAGAGTGGTGAAGAATCAAATGACAAAGTGAAGGAATTTTTTACTCTCATACAGGATGCTGATCAAGAATTGTACCCTGGCTGCAAGAAATTTTCAAAGCTCTCGTTCACCATTCGAGTTTATCTTCTTAAGTGCCAGAACAGATGGAGTAATGCATCAATGGACTCGCTCCTTTCCTTGCTCGTTGAGGCTTTTCCAGATGCAAAGATTCCTGCATCATATGGTAAAATGAAGGCGATGATTAAAGGTTTAGGTTTGACCTACAAGAAGATTCATGCTTGTCCAAATGATTGTATGCTATACTATGGTGCTGGCCATGAAAAATTGGAGAATTGCAAAAAATGTGGTGAATCCCGATACAAGTTTACAGCTGATAGTCAGGGGGATAACAGTGAAGATGGCACTAGTTCCAAGAAACAAATTGCAGCCAAGATTTTTCGTTACTTTCCCTTGATACCGCGACTCCAAAGGTTGTTCATGTCCTCCAAGACCGCTGAATTTATGAGATGGCATGATGAGAAGCGAGTGAAGGATGGCAAACTTAGACATCCTGCAGATGGTCAAGCTTGGAAAGACTTTGATAAGTTACATCCTGAGTTTGCAGCTGATTGCAGAAATGATAGACCGATAATTATACATATTTTCACCCCTATTCTGGAGCCGTTTGTGCTGAGGAATCTCGTGTTTTAAGCCGATTTTACGCCAGGTTGTGTGTTTGTGTCATATTTCAGGTCCCGGCGTTGGAATCGAGGCGGAGAAACGAGTTCTGGGTCGAAAGGAGCCGAGTTGGGACTAAGGGGGCTGCAGGAGGAAAATACTCGGTCGGATGGCAAAATACCCGACCGGGTATTTATCGTTTTTGGCACCCGTGAGAAACAGAAGGGGGCCCGGGCGAAGGCCTTAAATCCCCGGTCGGGGATTTTGGTGGTAGACCGGGGATTTTCGCCTTTAGTGGAACGGTGCGTTTCACAATACCCGGGCGAACCATAAAATACCCGACCGGGTATTTTGACCGGGTATCGCGACCAGGCGGCTGATAAAAGAGGAAGAAGGCCAATTTTCAAAGGGTTCCGAGTTTTTGAGAGAGAAACCGATACCTAGAGAGAGAAAGCGTCGAACCAGAGTTCTCAAGCGCCATAGATCGATCTTCAACACCATTGGAGCCCGTCTTGAGCTTGGAGAAGTGCGATTAAACGTCCAGAAGCAGGAATCCAACTTCACAGTATGATTTCCGTGTCTGAATCTGCTTTTGCTTCTTTCTCTATGGAGTAGTTTCCCCATTCATCTGGGTATGGAGAACCCTAGATTTGTATGCTAGGTCTGATTGTATGAACCCAAGTACAGTGTTTGTGAATTGATTATATTCGATTGAGGTTTGAATTATTGAATGACTTGAATCCTGATCAAATTCCTGTTGTTTCTGCTTTGACCTGGAATGAGAATATCTGCCTAGGTTGATAGAGTACCCTTAATCGAAGGTGGCGAATTGGTGACTTTAGTCGAGGGGCCAATTCGCTATTCTGTACCGAAGTCAATTCGGTAGTGGAGGTTTGATTCATTAGGGCCTCAATCTGTTTACTCCGGTGGAGGTTAGTCGCCCGCTAGAGACTCAGATTGAGAGGGTCTGGAGACCTTTAGTCGAGACTTCAGGCTAATTGAGAACCTTCCGCAGTATAACTTTCATGAAAACTGAACTTGGCAAATTGCAATCCGACTTAACTGCAGTCTAGGGGGAAACCATATCCGGGTGACCTCTCTTGACTTGACAACAAACCGTTTACTTGCTCTGTGTTTTGTTTGCTTGAGTTTCACTAAAAGTTCACTGCTAAATAACAAGAATTCACCGAGTAGTCATCACATCTAGGACCCGGGTTGACATTAAAACCCGACCCGCTATACTACGCTTTAGGAATTGGTTATACTTGGCCATTTTCTAGGGTGACAGTAGGAGTGAGTCAAGAAACATCAGGCTCGGCATTGCTGCAGATGGGTTCAATCCATTCAGGAATATGACTAGTTCTCATAGCACATGGCCGGTGATAGTTTCCATTTACAACTTACCTCCATGGATGTCCAGCCTTACCAACACCAAGTCAAATACAAGTGCCCATTGAAATGGCATGAGTAGTCTCATCTTTCTATAAAGATGGGGTTTTTATTTTTTTACCACACAGACGACAAAACCAAATCCCTGCTGCTGAATTTTCCATCCAAGCTCAATGTTCCAAGCTTAAGCAAACAGAACTCAACCCCTGTTGCTCCCCGACTACATGAAAATGGCTTGGGAAGCCAATCAACCATAGAGTCCCAAGTCAAATGGCCAGTGGCTGAGTTCGAATTGAAAGGCGGAAGCAGAGACTCGTAAAAGCCATTTATAGGGTATTGTTGCGTTCTGAGGGAGGGGAGATGATTTAGATGACCAACGCCTAGGCCCCCACTCCATCGCCTAGTCTCGCTTCTTCCCTGATTAGTGATTAGGCGCATTCCTAGCTATTAACCGCAATCAGCGATTTTATCAGCGCTAATGCCATAGGCGAGGCGTTCCCTCTACGCTTTGTGCCTAATTGAACGCCTAGGTGCGCCTTATTGAAGGCTTCCCCAAACATACATACAGTGGCAACAATACCCAATAACTCATAATCGATCAAAAGAACCCAACAACCAAAGAGAACCCCAGTGACAAAACAACTACCGACAGGAGGGGAACACATCCAAAACAAACTGATTCAATCTGAACGAAAACAAAAGGAAAATGCATTTGCTTACCTTGTGGCTGATGCGGCTGAGACTGGACTGTAGAGAATAATGTCAAAGAAGAATACTGCCCACCAAACCAACCATATATAAGAGGGGTTGCTGTTATATATGGCATGAGATGATGGCGGCAAATTTTGACGAGGGAGAAAACCCGCTCAAATCTCCCGCCAAGAAAGTGCAACATTCTAAACGAGAAGATAATTTGGTAACAATAATCTTCTAGATACAGTGGTTGCTTCTGGATTCTGGATTGCCTGATTCGGCGAAGTAATAGAGAAAAGGTCGAATGGGGGAAGAAAAGGCTAGAAGGATAGGGAACGTAATGGGTGGACTGGAACTGCCTTATCTCTCTATCTTTCAACTTCATATCCCTTTCATAATTAGCTGGCTTCCCGTATACATGTTAAACTGCAGTTTAGTCCCTACAAAAGATTTATATATTATTTAGTTAAACATGGATCCTCAATGATTCACTTTAACGTGTCTTGTAGAATTGCATCTTGATCACTATATCTTGGATAATTAATTAGTTAAACATCCATTGATCAGGCCCTATATAATTCACAACTTGTTCAGTCCTTCACTTGTTTGACCTATAATTTGCTCCAAATGACTCGGTTGACCTGACTTTATTCAAGGTACATCGATTAGTAGCTCGATTCAATCTACGACATAAATTGAGTCCCATGTCGATTAAGATGAATGGAGATACCGGTTGGGTTGGAGTAAGTTGAGTTGAGTTGGAGTCAAATTCAATAAAATTGGTAACAATTCGTGAAATGGTGACAGTATGTGTATGATACAAATCTAATCATGTCGTTTGTGGATAGATTGTCTTCAGTCCTGCTTAAACAACTTCAATCTTCTTGACTAGTAACAATTTGTATGAATACTTAATGCAATTATGAATTCTTTTTCTATAAAATTATTTGAATTACCCACTCATGTGTTGTCATCGATTCAAAATTGAATTAAATTAAAGATTTCAAACTTCGCCCTTATGATGTTGTTGACTATGTAGTTTGGAAATAGCATGAGAGTTGGGTTTGTTGTTAAATAGTAGTGTTTAAGAGAAACTATATATATTAGGTTAACATAACGGTGGAAAGAGGAGAGTTAGGCGCCCATAATCTGTGAATTGGCGCCAAATATTATATGTACAAGTAGTTTACCTAATAAATGAGGATAATTATATCATTCCATTATAATTAGTAAAATACTTGTGAAATTCATTTGGAGATTCCACCTAAATTCCTAGGAATTGCTATAATTAGTTTCAATTTCGTAAAATTCAAAATTTAGAGTTGGAAATGAATCATTTAAATACCAAACACAAAATGATTTCATTTCAAAATGAATCCTCAAAACTTTAGCATTCATTTACACCAAAGGTTATGTAAATCTTTTAGTTGAAAAGACTATACTACAATGAGATTTTTCCAAACTTTGATAATTGACTAGGCAATCGGGTCAGGTTTGATAATTTCGGGTTGGTGTCCTTATTACATGTCATCACAGGCAATGACAGATTCAGAATAGGGTAGAGCACTGGGCCACATTTGAAAAGAGACAGAGAGGACTGGGCCATAATCCGACGAGAACATACACATATACCTAAAATCGAAAATTTACAAGGACCATACTAGCTCTGGATCCAGGGAGGGCTGGGCCGTGGCCCGGGGGCGGCCCCCCTAGATCCGCCGCTAATCATAGTCAGGTCATGTTGGGTAACCTGATCTCGAGACAAATGTTAACTCAATCCAAAAATCTATGATTGGGTTTTGGATCATTTCCGTGTACGACTGTTCGCAAAACAATATCAAACATGTTTCATATTTTTTAAAGCACACAAATTCACATATGGACAACAATGATTTATCTACAAATGTCAGTTAACATATTCTCAAATTCTCACATATGCTGATGAAAGGAAATACAAATTGGACACTTTGGCCAACAAAAAAATTACCAATGCAATAATAGTACAAGAATAAATAATATTTTATTATCCTTACACTCCAAACTTATCTTTGAAATCCTTGTGAATTTTTTGTAAACATCTCATCAACTTATGAGTGATCTCGGCTTACGGATCGTTACAGATTTGATCGTAATTTGGTAGTTTATTAATTAGAGAAGTCTAATCTCAAGGATTTATAATACTACTAATAATAATAATAATAATAATAATAATGTACAACCGTAGCTAGAGGAAATTTATGTACTTTACGGAAAAGGAATAATTATAGATTAGGATCCTTGTTTAATTAATGACTTAAACTTTCCCCAAGTATACGAGCAAAACAATAACTCTCCGCTAAAATTAAAAAATCCGACTCTTCCTATTCTGAATAAATCTCTATTCCATAGCAAATCCCCAGTCCCCATTATCCCAATCGTTCCCACTGAAGTAAACAAGCTCTGCAGCAAATCTCTTCTTCTCGTCCATCGACCGCCGACACCTATTCAGTTCCCGGAAATTACAGTCGTTGCCAGTCAGCCTCGCACAAGTCTGCCGCTGCTCTCGGAGGTATTAAGTTTTTGGTTAGTATTGGCTGCAACCCAAACCATTCTCTTAATTAATTAGGTATTTAATTATTGTTTGGTGGTATATGATAGTTGTATCCGCTTCTGGTGAACCCAGGTTAGATAGAGGGATCGACACCTTCTTTGCTCCTTTTAGAGATTGGATCCATGTTAACTTAATTTTTGCTCTTGTTTTTGCTTCCTCTTTGATACTTCGTAAAGGCATCCTCCCCTGTTGTTTGGCTTGCTTTCTTTGTTGGGTTGTAGTTCTTTCTTCTGTTAATCTAAATAATTAAATAGTGTCACTCCTACAAATTCAATTGAAGCTTCTGGTCTTGCTTGTAAGATTATATAGTATTTACTAGGCTACCTGTGAAAGGGCCATCCAACCATCTACGTATGTGGCTAATTAATTAGCTTGGACGGAAGGTGGGAAATACTAAATACAAATAGATTAACAAGAAAGAACTACAGCAGCAAACATTTTACCTTTTTCCCTTTAACTACAATGAATATTTCTTTTGATAGGGGTCATGAGCTCTAATTGTATAGTGTATTCGAAAAGATCGAGATGCATGGGAGAAGAACAAGACAAATCAATTCCTTCTGATAGTGATGAGACAAGATCCCCATCAGAAAATGAAATATATGATTCGGATGAGACCCAAAATCGGTCGCAAGAAATGGGCGCAGGGCATACATTTGTACCGGAATCTGAGTATGAGATCGAGGCTCCAATAGGTATATTTATTTAAATGGTCAATAAATAATAAGTTTAGTGATTGAATGAAGCAGTGTGGATTAATGATCGTTTAAATAATAATGTTCATATGTATGTTCCATTACAGTGAAGAAAAGGAGAGGCAAGACAACATGCAACGCCGTTGAACTTACGACAATAAAGGGGAATAAAATTGAGGTGGACATCTCAAGTGACTGTAAACCCATTGGTAGGAACGCGAGGAAATTTGTAAATTACTGTGGACTCGTAGTAAGAAGCAATACGAAGTTGAGCATCAAGACATTGAGTGAGATAGACGAAGCTGAGATTGATAAATTGTTTGAATTGGTGGAGGTAAATTTATCTTTTATCTTTTACCATTTTCATTTCCATTTTTGTGTTTAGAAACTCTCCACAATGCATGCTTTTTGTTTTTTATGTAGAGAAAATTCACTAGTAGTGACAAACAAGCTCTAAGAGATCTTATGTGGATCAAAATGAGCTCAGCACATTCAACTTGGCAATATCGTGAGCGTGAAAAGTTCCTTGCACTTGTCGAAAACCAAAGGAGTGGCTATGTTCCTGAAGGTGTTGATGTTGATGACTGGGCAAAAATTGTTCAATATTGGGCTTCTACTGACTTCAAAGTAAGTGTGTACATTTTTACTTTCAATGCTGTCAAAATTAAAATTATTTATTGATCTTTGATTATTATTAACATATGTGGTAGGAAACGAGTAAGAGGAATAAACAAAATAGAGGAAAGGTGCAAGGAAAAAATACATGTGGGTCAAGAACACATGAAGAAGTGGAAGAAAATACGGTAATGAGTTTTCTACCTATACTTAATTTTTTGGTAATTAATAATCTAATATTAGGATAATTATAATTTCTATTCAATTTTATTTTTTACATAGTGTTCTTAAAATATAAATTTAATCACTTGACTTCAAATTTTAGAGAGATCCATTGACTGGAAAGAAGAAGTCTCATGACGAGGTTTACTATGCTCAACATACCAAGAAGGGCAAAGAAGGAGAGACATTGTGGTCTGACCCTAGAGCAAAAGCAATATACGTACGGTTACCTATTATATAATTTTGTTTTCATCATTGTATCAAATTATACAAGTTCAAATTCTTGTGTATATAATTATTATGCAGTGATCGATAATGAAGAGAGTACTAAAAATATTTTATTCTGCAGGAAAAAATAAAAGAACTGGTTCAAACAGGATCTAAATTGTCCTATAAAGCGACAGTTCTTCTTGCCTCAGGAAAGCCACATGCTCAAAGTAGAAAGAGGGCCATAAGAGGTGGGGTCGATAAGGCTACATTGAGGGCTGAGATAGAAGCAAAGGTACATCAACATTTTGAAGTCAAGTTAGCAGAAGAGAAGAAGAAATTTGAGGAGAAAATAGCACACCTACAAGCAAAACATGATGAAGAGAAGAGAGAAATGTGTTCTTGACCTATAAACTTCAACCAATTACTATTTTTTTTATATCATATTTAGTTTAAATCATTGTTGAGATTGTGGTTAAAGAAATTTGTTCTCTATTTTTGGTTAAAGATTGTCACTAATATTAGATTTGTGCCACATTATTCCAGTACAAAAAATTCATTCATTACAAGCCATCTCCTCGCCACTGGGATTTTTTAGTGTAGTTTTAGTCACCAAAAGAGGTATACGTGACCAAATATATGTAGTAAACAATATACATTTATGTTGAGTCAAATCGTCACAATTGTTAAATTTCATGAAGACACTATTTGTCACAAAACAACTTTTTGGTCACAAATCATATCATCATTATTGTGTTTTTTATCTACAAACGTACTATTGTCTCATATAGTGTCATTTGAGACGAAAATATTTGTCACCAAAGGATACATATGTGACAGCATTGTCGTCACCAACAATACAAATTGCGAGAGCTAAAAGCCTCACCGTTGTTGATATTTTGTGATGACAAAGTTGTCACAAAAATACATACGGTCAAGTAGCAAATCGTCACTAATGTATACTATTCGTAACATTCATAATCGTCACACACGCTATCATACGTGACACAAATATTTGGCACACTAGTGTTTTTTCATGACCACTATTATACTCACGAAAGATATCATGTAACTGATTAAAAAGTTTGTAACATTTGTATCGTCACTAAAACCACCAATGTTGTTACAGCTGGAACAAAATTGTTGTCACAAAAACCAAATTTTGTAACATTTGTATCGTCACTAAAACCACCTTGTGTGACAACTTAAACTGGTGACATTAGATATACATTGGTGACCACACCAAATAGTCACAAGCGTATACTATTCGTTACAAGTGTTATTTTGTCACGATTTAGAACATCTTATGTGACGACAAAACTTGTCATGAATAAAACAATATATGTTAGTTATACTTTTCAAAAAGTGTTGTGAAAGTTTTCGAAGGTGTTTCCTAAAATAGTGTTGCATATGAGTAATGCATATGCAACACTTCTTATTTTGTTGCAAAAAGTGAGAAAAGTGTTACATATTACTTTAGGTAACACCACCTTTAGGTGACACTACTAAAAGTGTTGCATATTGCATAGGCAACACTTTCGACACTTTTTACAACACTTTTCACGTGTTGGCAAAGGCCACTTTTCCCGTAGTGAGGGGCTGCGGTGGCAAATTGGTAATGGCCAGTCTGCTCCGTTACTCGGTACTAATTGGGTCCCTCGTCTGCACCCTGATGCTTCTAGTTTTAATCCCCGAATATTGCCTCGAAATGGTAACCTGGTGGTTGCTGAGCTGATTAATCCAAGGGAAGGGAGCTGGTGTGATTCCAAACTTCGTCAATGGTTTGACCCGCCTACTTGTCGTGTTATTAAGGAGATTCCCCTTCCATGGCTTGCGGTGGAGGACCGCCTTGTGTGGCATGAAACGATTGATGGGGTATTCTCGGTAAAGTCGGCTTACCATTTGGTTGTTTCTCTTGATAAAAAGGTAGGGAAATGGCATGCTACAACAAGTTGGATGGACAAAGCTAGTTGGATTCGACTTTGGGAGCCCCCATCCCTCCTAAGCTGAAAATTTTCATGTGGCAAATTTATAATCGGCTCCTGCCCACGACCGAAGCTCTAATTGAGCGGGACGTTCAGGTTCATCCTCCTTGCGCGGTTTGCTGGTCTGACTTTGAGACGATGGAGCATTTGTTCCTAGAATGCCTGGTTGCTAGGGCCTTGTGGGACTATGCGGGGCTTGAATATCTCGGTCAAGGGCTTCCTCGGCACACCTTTCCACTGTTCCTTAAGAAACTGATGGCCCTTATCCACCAACCGCAGTTAGTTATGGCTGTGGTGGCGCTCCTATGGAGAATCTGGCGGTCTCGCAATTGGGTTATCTTTGAAGGCAAGCAGTTTGGGTTGCTGGCCCTCATGCGACAATTTCATCAGCAATACCAGGAGTGGATAAGTTTTCCGGTTGATAGATACCCTCGAACCACTCCCCCTGCTCTTCATTCTGCAGAGAGCGTCACCCCTTGCCCGTTTGTCTGTCAGTGAGACAGGGCTGTTTCCCGTGGGTCCCACTCGGCGGGTGGGATGGTTGTTATGACTCAGGAAGGGGCGGCTATTCTAGCTCGGGGTGTCCAGTTTGTTGGGATTGTGGAGCCATTGATTGTTCGCGCTTCGAGAGGCATTACTTTGGTGTGTGGAGTCCGGATTTACAGAGATGCGATTTGAAGAGGATGCCAAGGTGCTTATAGACAAACTCAAGCAGGCTGATAAGAGTGACAGTCGTGTTGGAGCCCTTCTGGATGAAGTTCTGCATTGCTTATCTGACCATAATGGATTTAGTGTTCGGTTTGTAGGTCGGCGTAGTACCAGGGTAGCCCATTTAGTAGCTAGAAAGGCCCTTAATTTGTATGATTTCATGGTCTAGTTAAATTTCAGGATGTAACTTTCTATTTTGATCAATATATGATTATCTTTTGTAAAAAAAATTAATAGGGTCAGAACTTGAAAACATCAAATTACTTGATAAAGAAATAGATTCCATTATATTTGGACAGCCCTCTTCTCTTCTGTTAGTATAAAAACAAACAAGTAGAAGAACAAGAGTCGGAACCCCAAAAAAATCGAAGAGTTCAGCTTATGTGATTATGTGAACAACCAACCGAGAGTGAGAACCTAGAAACAGAAGAACATCAATGGGAATTGGGGACGAGAAGAAGACGGAGAAAACGATGGACACAGTAGCCGTATCCAACGAATGGCTGGAGGGGCTGACCAGAGCTCCACATGGTCAACTGGAAGGGCTGACCATGGACGGACTCAAGATTGTGGAGTCCAGCAAAGGATTCATCCGTTGTCACTTCACCGTCCCCGATCGCATCACCGTCAGTGAAATTTCTTCCTTCTTCCTCGATCCTGCTTTCTTTCTTTTTTCCCCCTCGTGAATGGAGCTTTTCTCGTTCAATTGAAATTGGGGGTTTCAATTCATTGTTAGGACGGAGATGGGAATTGGCACGTCGGAGCGATGGCGACGATGATCGACGATGTGGGTGCGGCTGCGATTTTCTCATTGGTCGGCCATGTCAAAGCTTCCCTCGATTTCACCATCTCTTTCCTCTCTACTGCTAAATCTGAGGTAAACGGAAAAACTGCGAAACAGTGAAAGAGGGTGAATTACTTCCCAGGTCCTCGTGGTTTTAGTTAATCAACAATTTAGTCCTTTACCCATACGATTCAGTGAGTAGTGTGAAATGTTTGATCAGGAAAAAATGGAGTTAGAAGCAAAGGTTGTGGGGGAGAAGGAAAGGTTGGCTTCAGTGGTGATAGAGGTTCGTCGGAGGAGCAATGGAGAGCTCATTGCCTTGGGGAAGCAATGGATGGCTGCCCATAATAAACATGTAGATAGATCAAGTAAACTTTGATCATCGTTAGAATTGTATCACACTGTTCAATCTTGTCACTCATATTCGCCCCGTGGTCGGTAGGGTGAAGGCTGATCGACCTATATCGTATGTAATTTAAAAAATCTATATATATTTGGAACATTGATTATTATTTTTTATGAATCATTGGGTTTCATTCATCAAAAGGTGGCCCTAGCAACACACCCTGCTAGCTGGGAATCAACAAAACTGTTTGTAATAAACCACAGAACAAGAACCAAAACAGACAGCTATAGACTATAGATCCCAGAACAGATTAACTCGGTGAGATCCTAACTGGCACTCAATTTCCGATTTGATTACTTTCACCAAAGTAGCACAATCCCTCTCTTTAGCTGAATATAAACGTCTGCAGCGTTCTCGCCAAATATAACTCACCCAGGCCTGCCAAATCAATTTCCCCGTTTCAGTTGCCTCAGAGATTCCACCAAGCTTGGACAGCATCAGAGCCACTACCTTCTCCCAACTCTGCATGGCTGGAACCTGCATAAACTTAGCAAAAATCCGACTCCAGCACAAGGCGGGAGAAAGGACAGCAAGCATATAAATGATCCCTATTCTCCACTCCTGTTCCACAAAACAGCATTCCATACCGCCACTATATCCCCATCGCATCATCCTCTCTTTAGTATTAATTTTCCCTCTGATTACAAGCCAAGTGATCACCCTATTCCGAGGGATAGCTTTTCCCGTCCAGACTAGCTTCCACCAGGTGACATTCTGTTGAACAGGCCTCTGAGTCTGCCAAACCCTCTTTATAGAGTAGGCAGGCATAGGATCACCTTTAAATCGAAGCTCCCCCCCTTTTATCGAAACAGAAGAGACAATCTTACCTCTTAGCTTTAACATCTTGCGCCAATTCCAGGAACCCGAAACACAGGAGTAACTCCACAGGTCCCTCCCTTTTAGTTTGTATTTATGGATCCAAGCAACTCACAGTGAACCTTCTTTCAGCAGGATAAGCCATAAATGCCTCACCATACAGGCCTGATTCCAGCTCCACATATCACGAAATCCCAGGCCTCCTTCTTTTTTTGGTAGAGTAACTTTCTGCCAGACAACGTTTGCTCTCAGTTTAGTCCCAACTCCAACTCCCCAAATATAGTTGCTACAAATTCTCTCCACCTCTTTAATGACTGACTTAGGCAAAAGAAATACTGACATCCAGAATTGTGTAAGACTATATAGCACTGTACCAACAAGTTCAATCCTTCCAGCATAAGATAATGACTTAGCTTGCCAACTCTTAACTTTTGCAACAATTTTATCTATCAGGGATTGAACATTGATTTTTGTCATTATATATGTAGTTAAATTATTCAAGAAGTAGAACTTCTCGCCTGTTTACAACTTTATTAATAGCCAAAATATAATGTAATGTAAGTAAAATTCTAAATAATTTGAGTAAAATTACATATAATTTAGACAAAACGGATCGAGAACTGGTCGGATCAAAACGAGTAAGGTCGAGACGAGTACTCATGCCCGTCCAACCCCACCTACGAGACAGGTATTACCCCTCAAAACATGTCAAACAAATCGGATAGGACAGATCAGGAAGAAATTGTCAGTAGAACTACCAACATTTTTTTTTTTTTTGTTCGGATGAAGATGGTAGCTTGGATGTAGTTCTCTTGTTGGTGGCCACTCATGTTCAACACTAATGAAGCAACAAAGATCTCCATTAATCTGATTTTTCATCGGTATGAATGGAACTTGCAAAAGCTCCACAAGCAAGCATGGAGATATAAAAGAGTGTGTAGATAAAAAATGTCAAAATACGCAAGAAACTAAAACTAAAGAACACCGAGAAAACTCAACTGGAGAACACTTAGTTTTTTGACGTGCTATTGTCAATGTGACACTTCTTCGAAATTAGTGATTCCTAATGCAAGGGAGCACCAAAACCAAAGTTGGGAACATCATTGCAACAAAGGCAAAGCACCATCATAGATTCATAGGGAAGTTGGGGTATTTCAGCATCCTTAAACGCTCGACAACTTGGAAATAGTATATACCCAAAGGGGAATGAAATATGTAGAGACAGATACACTTGACCTCACTCATAAAACAGAGTGCCCCTAATATGCTAATTCCATGGTCTCTAGTGCTACAGAAAACAAAAGAGAAGGGTGAAAAAAGATGAAAATGCAAATCCTCATAGAGTACCCAAATCCATACATCTCCCTCTCTGCTACGCCCCAAACCTGCAGAACCTGCAAAGACCGAAACTTTATGATACTCTAACTCTAACCCCATAAGAAGCAGAGCCACAAATGTAAACTTCCCTAGGGCCTGCCATTTCTACCCTGCTGCCCACGTCTCTTCTTCTCGGCCACTTGTTCGTCCGACAGCGGAAGGTAGTAAATTCGAGGGACTGCTTTGGTTTTCCTGAACAGGTCGTCTAGGGTCACAATAGGGGCCTCGGGTTTCTCAGCTAGCGGTGGAGGTGGTGGAGGCACGAGCCGTTCCTTAACCAGAGGAGGGTTCGATAGTGGCGGCGGTGGAGGAAGGGGAGGCGGTGGTGGCAGTTGCTGTCTAGTAGCCTGCAGGCGGGGTGAAGGCTGTGGCTGGCTTGATGGTGCAGGAACAGGAGCAGAAGCAGGCTTAGAAGCAGCAGGAGATGGAGGAGGTGCATCCACCTTGGACTTCACTTCCTGAGGATCTACAAATTCTGCAACCAGGAGGCGTCCGCCATTTGGAGGCCATTGGAGATTATACACAGCATTTCGAGTCTCCACGGCTTCTTCCACTGAAGAGTACTGCAAAGAAGAAGAAGAAAAAAAGAAACGATAAAAGCATGTTTCTCAGCTTTCAAACAACCAAGAAAAGAGGATCTTGGGGTTTTCTGCTGAAAATAAGTTCTTAAAACTGAAATAAACACATTCCTTATATCTCATCAGACCTACTTTTTCAGAAACATCACCAAATGCAAACCTTTTCTTTACTTCTACTGAAATTCAAAAATGATTTATCTTTTAGCAAAAGCTGAAACTAACAGGCCCGAGAGAGGGAGCTCACTCACAGTGACAAAACAATGGGTTTTAATGTTGTCCATCCAGAAACTTGTCACAGTCCCAGTCTGCCCCAGAAGTTCTTGGACAGCTTTCAGAGTGAAAGGACGTAGAAATCGATCGATTTTCAGGGAAGTGGTTGGAGGCTTCTGCGATGGTGGAACTACAAACAAGTCGGTCAATAAGAACTTGTTAGATGTTTCACCAGACATTTCAGCTGTAAGCATCTTCAATTGATGAAAGATCTACAACTCACCACCACGCTCCTTTGGTGCTTCTTCACTGGCCATGGAGTCTGATCGAGAGAAGTTTCGCTTAAGAGGCTGAAAAGCAGTATCCTTAGGTGTGGATACATGAGTAAGAGTAGAAGTCTGACTAGGATTTTGCACGTCAAGAGACTTGCTGCTATCGGAATTCCACCTCCGTTGCCTCTTCAACGGTTCAGTGCTCACAGCTTCCTGGTCTGGAAACAAATTCAAGGCGGACAAAGGGAATATATAAAACAAAGTTATGATGCTGAACAGGATATCAGAAATGTTTCCATAACACTGCTCAAAAGATTTGTGAACGGAAAGGACACCTTCTACTCAACAGTCGAGTGGGCCAAATGGCTCGAGGAGATAATAATGAGTGCAATAAGAATATACATCATCAGAGACGTAAATGCCAAAGCATAACCAGAGCATTGAATCAGATTCAAGAACTATTGCAAGGGGGGAAAACAAAAGCTCACCATTAAGCTTCCTCTTCTCAACACCTACATCTTGACCACTCTTATTCTCAACTAGAGTTTCTGTTTGGTCCGCAGATGGCTTATTTCCATCGAGCTTCAGCATATTAACCTCCATGTTAACAGGCACTTCATCTGTCTCATTTTTATTTACCACTTCATCGGAATTATACTTCGAATCAATCTGCTTACTCTCCAAAATATCTTCATCCATAGAATCATCACCAGAACTTCTATCCAGATTCAACTTCTCAGAATCACCCACATCAATGCTATCAATTTTCTTCTCCACATCTCCAATGTACGCATCAATGCCTCCATCTTTCTCCTTAACCAATGCCTTCTTTTCTTGTGGATCTTCAACATCCATAGGATGTGAGTCACCACCAACCGGGACAACATTACTTGATGATGATAGTTCCACCATCACTGGTTTAACAACATCTAGTTCTAATTTGACATTATCAGCAATTATATTATCCTTTAGTTCATTCTTTTCATTAATAGATACAGAATCAGTAGAAAGTGAATCAGATTTTGCTTGAAACCCTAAACTAGGGCTAACCTCAGATACCTGGTCATTTGGAGCAGATGGGTCATGCTTGACAACCTCCTGTGGAGGCTTCAAATCCTCACTGTCCAGCTCAGACTTTGGATTCTCACTCTCTGGCTGAGGCTTTGAATCCTCATTTCCTAACTCAGAATTCGAATTCTCACTCTCAAACTGAGGCTTTGAGTCCTCATTCTGCAACAGTGATCTCTTATCCTCCTGCTCCAGCTGGGGCTTTGTATCCTCATTATCCAACTGAGGTACATGACTATCATGTTCGTGCAGTGGTTTTGGATCCCCATTATCCAGATGATCATTTGAATTATCCTTAATCTCCTGTGTACCAGAATTTTCCTCAGCTTTTCCACTGTCAGTCAAATCAGGAACCACAGTCTCAATAACTGCAGCGCTTTCAATGATTTCACTTTCACCCTCCAGAGGCTCTATATGACCATCAAGAGGTGTTCCTCCGTTTGAAGGAAGAGCATTTCCTGTCGCTACCTCATCATGCATTTTTTCTTGGCCGACGGCCTCCAGACCACCATTAGCACCAACTTTGCCAGCATCAGAACTCTTAATGTTGGAACCATCAACCAATGGGGCATGCTTCTCTGTCTCTGAAACCCCGACTTCTTCTGCACCTTTCATGTCACCAGCTGGATGACTCGAACGGTTATCCACCTCATCCTGTGCATTTTCACCCTCGCTACGAATTGCTTCTGCCAAACGCTTAATCAAATCATCCTTCAAACCCCTGATTGCCAACTTCCGCTTCTTGAGCTCCTCCTTCAGCTCTACGACCTTCCACTGATCTATAGGTCTATTATCAAGGATCGGGTATTCGGATGACATCTTTGCCAGTCAGATAAAGAAACGCCCTGCTTCCAACAATAACTCAAATAAGAACCACATCCGATGAAGAACAGATGTCCAATCTAAAGAAACAGAGACAATTTGTTAAAAGTACAAAATCCCATCATAACCAATCCTTAGAATTTGGATCATCTTTGATAGGTACAACCTACATATCTTCTCGTAAAAACACGTCAATGACTAGGTAAAAGCGCCAAACACGACCGATAACATAACAAGTAACCACCTTTAGCCAGAATAAGAATAAAAAAACCAAACTCCAGTGCCATGTATCAGTAAAACCCACATTCCACAAGACAAAGGAAGAATAAAACAAGCACAGTACCAAGAAAAGAAGGGAAAAAAACAGAGAGACGAGCACCAAGCTCTTAGACGGGCATACTTACAGGAAATCGCTTCGAGCAGCTCCAAGAACAAAAACCCAATGCAACGCGATGGACAGAAGAGGAAGAGGAAGGTCTGGAATTTTCTAGAAGTAACGCGGAAACCCTAAAATTTTCACAGCAGAAACCCCACCATAAGCGACCCGATCAAGACGCCCGAGCCAAAACCGGCGATTACCCGCAATGTTTCCAACGAACCCTACACGAAACGCGACCGGAACCACGTCTTCAACTCCCTGAAAAAACAACACAGACGAGAGAAACCAAAGCAAGCTAAAGCCGAAGGCGTTACGACAAAAGAAATTACACGGAATGAAAATGCTGATTTTCAGTTGCGATGACGAGAGAATATGGAAGGTTAAAAAGAAGAAAATGGGATTGCGAAGGGGTGAAAATTAGGGTTTATGGTTCGTCAGCTCACAGGGGGCAAGGGCTGTTCGTTGTGAGAGTTCGTGTTGTGGTTGAATTATCTGTCGGGGAAATTGAAGAGAAAAAGAAAAAGAGAACATGGAAAATTGGGAAGGGGAAGTTGAGTAGTCAGTTATTGCGTGCTGCTCCCGGACTTCCCGACTTTTTTCCTGGGCTGGGCCAGCTTGACGATGAGAAATTGGGCCTCACTTGGGCTTGCCTAGTGAGCTCTCGGCCTGTTGCTTCCCATGTGAATTTAAACCGAATCAAACTTGGTTTGGAAATTTCCTACCTGGCTAGATACCGGTTCGAATCAAAACTAAACTGAAACCGATTTCAGTTAAACGTAAAACGACGACGTGTCAGGTGTGGCCGAACACTGCAGAGTTTTTCCGAACTCTCTCTACAAACTCTCTCTCGCTCGCTCACTTACCGAGGGATATCGATTCAGAAAAGAGAGTCGGAAACTTCTACCGGAGCTCTCGCCGTCCCGCCGAAGGGGGAATTTCCAACCTTCAGAAACGATGTTCCGAAGGTACTGCTGAGCCTTCTTCCAATCTCCTCCGTTGCCCAAACTTTCACCAGTCTCTTTTGTCAATTCTTTGTCCGTCTTCGAGCTTGATCCCTCAAGTGTTCGCAATGGTGAATTCTTGCTATGCAGGTCGATTTTGGCATTGTCGTCTCGTCGATCAATTCACCCGAGGCAGATTACTCCTCCTGTACGTAGTATTCAACAGTATTCTTCGAATTTCGTTTCTCTTTTCCCCATCTTTCTATTGTTTGTTGGAGTTGAGAATTATTGCTCCTTATTAGTATTTTGACAATGGGGTTATGTGCGACTTGTTCGTGGGGATTGGTAGGCGTTTTTTGTGTAATGGGTTACTTACTCAACAGCTGAAAGTTTAAAACTTTTGGGGCGAAAACGATAGAGTTGGATGTATCTTATGTCCATGTCGCTTGTATTTCCCAATAGCTTGTTGTTTATGGATTTCGGAACTATTTTTCAGCGAGTGCCTTCTTTGAGGAAGGGCTTCTCGACGAAACCCCATCAAAATGCGCCTCCAAATACTGGGGCTGCTGGTCAGCCGCCTAAACCGAAGAGTACTTTGCCCAGAGTTATCTTGGGAACCACTGCTGTTGCTGGTGCTGCTTTTTTGGCGTACCAATCAGGTTATTTAGATCAATATATTGGTGAAAAGGAGCAGGCGGGACACGTAGAAGTGAAAGGAACACATATTAGGAAGGAAGTGGTACCCATTGTTGCTGAAGAGCCGGTAAAAACAGCTGGCGATGTGGCGGCATTTGCTCAAAAGGTTAAACCGGAGGATGATGTTGCTCGTGTTGAAGATGGCGAGAAGATTGAAACTCTGACTTCTGGGATTGAAGATGATAAGAAGGTTGAAAACCTTACAGATCTTCCTCAACCCGAATCTAGAAAGAAGATTGAAGATCATGTGGATCTTGCCCATGATAAAGTTGAGCAGAAGGACGAAACTCAAACTGGGATTCCTCATCATGAAGATGTAAGCAGTACAATAAGTGAAATCCCATCTCAAGCTGCAGAAGCAGCGAAGCCAATGGCAGAAGATGATGCTGCAGTTGCTCCCAAAGAAAAGAATGAACCACAATTCTCTGCAGCAATTAGTCATGAAACTGTTCCTAGCATAAATCCAGAGCCAACAATTAGTGGGGAGAGGAATGAGGAAGTTAAAGTTTCAGTAATGCCGAAAGAGGATGATGTAAAGACGGTGCTCTCTGATCATCCAGCTGTTGTACAAAATTCTGAGGTACTCACCCAGTACTTTGCAATGATTTATTTGCCTGTAATATGCTTGGATTTGTTCTATGTAGAAGAACACATGCTAAGATTTCTGAACTCAACTGGCTTTCCTTACCATACTGTTGCTTTGTCGCCTCAATATATTGTATTATAGGTTCCTCCTTTGTTATGTTCCTGATGCCGATGATAAGGTATCATCTTGTTGTAAAACACTGCAATAAAAAGACAGGGAGAAAGAAATGAGGAGTAAAGGAATATTATTGTACAAGTTGAAAATCTAAAACTGCATTTGAGGAAGGTATCTGCCATTTCTAAACGTGTTAACCTTGATGGTTCAACTTGTAGATTTTTTTTCTATACCTTGTTAATGAATGCTGGACCTGCTTCTTGCTAATATGGTGGTTTGGGGCTTTTCACATGGTAGCTAAGTTATCTTCATGATCTTTATATTCAGGCTGAACTAAACAAAGGTGCTGATGCGTCAAATCTACTTGACACTTACCATCTCAAGGAAAAGACTGTAGAAATGCTGTCAAGTGAGGCTCCAGTGGAAGAGGTGAATATCAGCACCCGTTGGGCTATTATTTAACATGCTTGTGTGATTATATTTGAAAGAGTCCTTGGTAGAACCATGAGAAACCACAAACCTTGGTCCCTTTAAATTGCAGGGTACCGCAGGGGAACTGAGTGAAGGTTATGTAACAAAAGATGGAAAGCTGGTTATGGATTTTCTTCAAGCCATTCATGCTGCTGAAAAGAGGCAAGCTGAGCTAGATGCCCAAGTTTTTACTCAAGAGAAAAGAGTACTGAAGGTATGGCCACGGAATGCTTTCTGGTGGGAAGAATTACATTTGTCTGCATAATCTGCATCTTTGATCCGTTGCAAATAATATAAAATTATGGATACTGTTTTATCTCTTATATTTTTTTTTTTTTTTTGTCTTGCCTAATATCAGGAGAAGTATGAAAAGCAATTGAGAGATTCAAGAGCAAGAGAACTTATGCGCGCAGAAGAGGCTGCAATATTGGATAAGGTTGTATAAGTTTCGTTATCCAATTAATAACCATTCTTGACCTGCACTCTGTAGAACCTGAAAATATACGAGCATACATTACCTGCTCGTGCAATTCTTATACTACATGCACAAATTCAGGAAATCAAAAGAGAGAGGGCAAAAGCAGCAGCTGCAGTCAGGTCAGTTGAAGAGAAAATGGAAGAGAAACTCAAGAGGGAACTTGAGCAAAAGGTTTGCAGTGTGTCTATCCTTTGTCCAGTATAATGGTGTCTCTTCCCATAACAGATTTGCACAATTTGGTTATTTCAACTTGCTATTCTTGGGAAATTTAGGAAGCTGAAGCAGAAGCCGAGGTGAAAAGGATCCAGGAGTTGGCAAAAGCAGAATTGGCTGCAGCAATTGCAAGTGAGAAGGCTACACAAATTGAAAAAATTGCGGAGGCTAATCTTAATGTAAGATCTCCTTTTATGCAAGCTTCAGAAGTCTACGTCAAGCAATAGTTGACAAACAGTTGAACTTGCCTGTCATTTAACTTGTGACTATGATGATCCCTTAACTGACTAGTCTGAGGATTTCTTGTTTTCTAGATAGATGCCTTATGCATGGCGTTCTTTGCACGATCAGAAGAGGCCCGCCAGATTCACTCTGTTCACAAGCTAGCGTTGGTAACTTCTCTTCCCCGATGCTTTTTAGAGGCTTCTTCACATTTATTTCCACCTACCAACCATTTTGCTTCCAAAATATATGCCTTGCAGGGTGCACTTGCTTTAGAAGACGCTCTTTCCCAAGGTCTTCCGATCCAGAAAGAACTAGAAGATTTAAGTGCCTATCTGGAAAGCACTGATAAGGATTCGCTGGTTCAGCTGGTCCTATCAACTCTTCCTGAAGAAACACGCCAATCCGGCACAGACACTGTGTTGCAGTTGAATCAAAAGGCATGATAATTTTCTTTGGATCTTTTTATTTTGGTGCATATAAAAAATGTTTACCTCCTTTCCCTTTTTGATAGTCAATTACTGGTCTGAACTTAGATTAGAAGTTAATATGATTTCCCTTTGGTGTCACCTCCTTGAGGTAGAGTAAATGTCTGTTAGGTTCTCCTTTTCCACTTACTAGGACTGATTGTTTCCCTAGTGAAGGTGAGTGCACTGTCCATGCTATTTCAAGAACGGGGAAAAAACTTGCGATTGTCTAACCAATCATCAGTTATTGCCCTGATTCGTGATAGTGTAACTTGTGCTTCCATTGCATAATGCACAAATGATAGTACCGATAGAGCAGATATTGAGAAGAGACATTATATTTGAGGGTCTCTCACCAACCGATCTCTTTTTCATTCTACAGTTCAACGCCCTGAAAGGTACGCTCCGGCATCACATTCTCATCCCTCCAGGTGGCGGTGGCATCTTAGCACACGCTATGGCCCAGATAGCATCTTGGTTGAGGGTACTCTCGCATGCTATAAACTCAAATACTTTCACAACCCTCATTTTGCTTAACCCGATTTTGCTGCATCCATAATGACTATCTTCATTTTCTGCTACAGTTGAAGGAAGTGGATCCATCTGGAGATGGGATCGAATCCGTAATCAGTAGAGTTCAAACTCTCTTATCCGAAGGGAAGCTTGCTGAAGCAGCGGATGTTCTTCAAGACGGCGTGAGAGGGAGCCAAGCCGAGCAGATGGCAGGTGATTGGGTGAGGCGTGCTAAGAACAGAGCCATCACCGAACAAGCTTTGACCGTGCTTCAATCCTATGCCACCTGCATCAGTCTCACTCGATCGTAAGGTCTGTCCGAAGATGTGATCTTGTTTTTGCGAATACACTTAGATGTTAAGCCAATAGACATTTGGCAACTCACGAAATTGTGTAGAGTAATACCAATTACATGCCCCCTAGAGGATACCCGGCAATAAAGATTCTGTGTTGATGTTTTGAGGTGGGGAAATTTTGCCTCTGAATAGGACTGGACTAGAGTCGTATGAGCCTGTTTTAGTACGGGAATGGCCTGTAATGATCCTACCATGTAGCACATGTTATGATCTGGCTAGAGTTGTTTTGTTTGCTAATGGAGGTGGTGAAAATGGTGTTTGTAAAATCATATCGTATCGTTCAAGTTGCCCATCTGAGAGTCGGTATGATTTTATCATGGTCTATCATCTTCCTTCTTAATGTTAAGGTAGTGAATACATTCATTAAAAGGAATTTAGTATTAGACAAGAAGTCCACCGAAATAAATTATAGGAACAGCAAAGATGTGAAACGCCAGACACACTCAGTTGCCTTTGCCCAAAGATTGCACATGAAAAAGAACATGCTCAAGCTCTGAATTATTCTTTCTTTTATTGTTTTATCACTATTAAACTTAAAACACTTTTTTTTTAATTGAATGAGAGTTTCTTTTCGGTAGGGATGGCAATGGGTCGGGTCGGGGACGGATAGTGAATATCCGTTACCCTACCCAAAGTAGTTCGGGTTTTACCCATACCCATACCCACATAAGAAACGGGTAGAAAATTCAAACCATGTCCATACCCGTTCGGGTTTCGGGTATCCACGGTTATCCATGGGTAATAGTTTTTCTTTATAACTCTAACCAATATGTTAATATTCACACGTATTCTCACGTTACGTAAGACGAAAAGTACGACAATGATTCACTAGAATGAAGAAAATTAATTAAACCAACACAATTTCATGAAAATATTATATTTATATGCTAGATATAAAATATTTTAGAGAAAAATATTGATTATTTCTAGAAAAATATATACGAATGTGTATAATCGGGCGGGTTCGGGTTGGATAGTGAGAAAACCATGCCCACCCATTACCCGCAATATTCGGGTTCGGGTTTTACCCGTACCCACTAAAAGTCTTTCGGGTTCGAGTTTTACCCTACCCGATTAGGTCGGATTCGGGCGGATACCCATGGTTACGGATATTTTTGCCATCCCTACTTTTCGGAAATGAAGAATCAGTTGGAGGCCAAGGTGCCTGACCCTGAGGGTGGAAATTTGATATTGGTTTTTGGGTTCGACCAAAACTGATTCTATGTGCTTGTTCCTTGTTATTGATGTTATTTTAGGTACAAAGAAATGAAATTCTACGGAATGGAAATAGGAAATTGATTTCACCTAGTCCAACCTCCCACAATTAATAGGTTTGCACTTTTTTCAATTGTTGCCAGCAGACCGAACCAAATTTGAAACCGAACAGATTCAGTTTTGATGAGCCGAGTTGTGTGCTCGGGGGCAATTGCGGTTCTTATTTGTAGAGTTTTTGGTCGAATATCACCAATCTTTGTTTTGGACAACAGAACATTAACATATTTTTGGTTACCTAATCAATTTATGGTCACAAATCAATCAAGTTTATGTATCTAGACTGTCGAAAGGCTTTATATTATAATATAATTATGACACAAGTGTGATGAGCTTTTAGTCTCTTGTATTTCTTTAGTTGCTAACAGAGATTTGGGAGGTTGAGACTGAAATTCTGAGCGGGTGGTTAAGTAAATTAATTAAGGGAAAATGACATATTGAAAGCAAGCAAACTATTAGGGGGAAAGAAGGAGATAAAAATAAAACTATGTTTAAGAAATGACAATGTTGATTAGTGCTAAGCCGGGTCTGGTGTAAGAGCGCTAATCGCTTTCATTCCACCAGTAAGTGACAGAGCTTGTTAAGATTATCTAATTAGTTTCAGTGCCAGCTATAATACAACACAATTGGTGACCGGCCAGGTGGCTTCTTGCTGTCTTTATTCGTCTCTTCCTTCATCAGCTTGGCTCGGCTTGGTTTTAAGTTTTAACCTGTAAGATTAAGATATCACACATCTGATGGGAGGGAGACTAATGAATAATTATTTTTTCTTAATGAAATCCCAAGTTTACACACACTCTTTATAAAATTAACACCTTCTGTAACTACAAAGATTTGTCCATTAATTGTTCTCCTAAATTCCAACCAATTTGAGGTAATTAAACTTTTAGTGGAGTATTCAGAATTTCAATCAAACAAGAGTGGAGTATTCAGAATTTCAACCAAACAAGGGTTCAACTTAAAAACAAGTATAAAAAATGAATTTTATTAATATTTGTTTTTCGGCGAGAAAACTTGCGTTGAAATCGAATTGAATTCACATTGACTTCTTTGGACAACGATCACTAAACACGGTTCACACCTCTTCAAACATAGTTTGAACGAGGGTGTTCGATGTTTACACGACTCTCGAGACAGATCTACAGTAAGTTACTCCTACTCCTATGGAAGTTTAGTGAGAGCTCCAGATCTACGACTACGGCTAAAATTGAAGAGGAAAGGAAAAAAGGATAAAATTTGACATTGTGTTGTCTGGCGTGAATTTGGCGCCCCTTTCTCTGTCAACTTCTCCTCCTATTTAAAGCCTTGAAGTGGTAACCGTCGTAGAAAAACTGTCTGAGAGTAACTTCCAGAAAGAACTGCTCCTCTTCTTCCTCGGACGTGGCTGACGTGTCCTTGCACGTGGGATGATCGGCAATTGCTCTGTTAACCGCCTGCTCTTTATCTTGGAACTGTCGTCTTGTTACTTGTCTCTCCCACATGGCTTGCTTTCTTACTTCAAACTTGTTAGTTCAGATCTTGGACATGGTATAGACTCACGATGTGGTATAGATCTCGCGACCACGTCGGGCTCTAAATTTGACGCCAACGTGGTCTAGATCTCGCGACCACGTCAAGCTCTAGATTTGATGCCAACGCGGTATAGATCTCGCGACCACGTCGGGCTCTAGACTTGACGCCAACGCGGTGTAGATCTCGCGACCACGTCGGGCTCTAGACTTGACGCCAACGCGGTCTAGATCTCGCGACCACGTCGGGCTCTAGACTTGACGCCGACGCGATCTAGATCTCGCGACCACATCGGGCTCTAGACTTGACGCCGATGCGATCTAGATCTCGCGACCACATCGGGCTCTAGACTTGACGCCGACGCGGTCTAGATTCGCGACCACGTCGGGCTCTAAATTTGACGCCAACGCTGTCTAGATCTCGCGACCACATTGGGCTACCCAACTCGCGACGAGACTAGCTCCTTCTTGGACAATTAGTGATTTGGGCTTAAAAACTAGTATCATGAGGCCCAGTTCAAATAACATTAATTGTCATTAATGATCTGGCCTTATAAAGACAATTAATGCATTGTAAATAATTAATGTGGTGCAAGATTTTTTTTTGGTGTAAACAAATGTCCCCTCAACTACTTAGTGCATGGGAATAATGGACTAAGTAGTTGTAACTACCGTGCTAGCCAAGTAACGTGTTGGCTTGTGGTCCATTCTCTTCCACCCAATGGATCTATTCTTCGATTTGTCTGGATGAGAGCCTGTTTGTGGATCTGCGAAGTGAGGGGGTAGAGATGGGCCAAACAAAAGCGGGTCACAACTGGAGCAGGACCAGCAACGACCTTGCTGAAGGGGATTATCTGAAGACTGCAACTAGGATTGGTAGCATATCTGTTGATGATGTTGAAAGTCTGCCTGCACAGGTGCTCAAGATTGGAGGACAGGCCAATAACAATATTGACGACAGACGGCGATGACAGGTGCTTTCAAAAGCTAACAACATAGTAGGTCGTGGATTTTGGTGGATATGGAAGAGCATGACAAGAATCTAGTAGAATTTTGTGGTTTTCAAATATGGAGATTTAGATGGATCTAGAACCAAGCAGAGTTTGCGGTATATAAATTTTGAAGGAGTTGTAGATAGGTAGATTTGGCGTAACATAAGACTTCAGGTCCGCCATTGAAGATAGAGCGTAGATGGGAAGAGATTCACAAACGGGAAGGGGTCAAGCTAAGGGAATTAAAGATGGGTAGATCTGGTAAGCCATAAAACTGGGTTGATGATGGAAGATAGTGGATATATGGATTCGGAAGGGAGTGAGATTTGATAGGGAAGCAGTGGAAACTGGAAAGGCGTTGTTGATTTGACTATGGGTTGAAATAAAGTTAGCTAAGGAAGAAGATAAAATATGTGCGGCTGAGAAGTGAGAAGTGATGAGAGAGTGGGAAGAGATAAAGTAATAAAGGGGAAAGCAAGCCAAATTGCCGCCAACCCCAATTAATTGGCGGAATTGAAAAGTTCAAACCAAAAAGAGTTGGCGGGCTAAAAAATAAAAATTTTCCAAAGAAATAACAAGGGGATTTGGGGGGGGTCGTAATTCCCATTATATTAATAGCGAGGGGAAATTATCTACCCATAACGAAGGGAAAATAAGATCCTCGGTTAAAGACCACTTTTTAAAAACAATACCGTGGGGACTTACAGCTGGTCATTGATAGGTTACATACTTACATCTACCGACCGGATTGAAGCCCCTCGGCCACATTCCCCTCGTTAAAGCTACATTTTTTTGTAGTATCATCTTCAACTTTAAACAAGGAGGCACACACGTATGGCTTCCCTGGAGTTATGTCAGCCAAGTCTACCTCAACCTTATTGGCCTTGTGGCCAACATGATTGATGGTATAGTCTAAGTTTGGGAAGTATGATCCCCTCGAGGCACTCCTACGATTCTCTTTCTCATGTAGAAGATACCTCACGGAACAAGATATGAGTTTAAACAAGTCAGAGAACTCCCTATCTTGGAATTTCTTCCTTAGTTCAAAACTCAAACCCCCTTGTGTCAGCTTGACGAACTCCCTCTCCGTCAAATTGACAAAGCAATGGTTACGGGCATTCTTGAAGTTAGTCAAGAAATGCTCAACTGATTCCCCTCAATGTTGGCTCATACGTGCCAAGTCATGAGTCATCCATGGACACCTCGGGCTCTTATCTATAAAATTGAGCGTGGAAGACTTGCTCCATCTGTTGCCAAGTCTGGATGGAGTTAGACGGCAAGTTAACGTACCACGTAAAAGCTGGCCCTGTCAACGAGCTGCCGAACAATCTTAACTTAACGAAACCTCCTATGTCACCACATTGGATAGTGAAATGTCCAACGTGCTCTACAGTGGACTGATCTCCAGTCCTGTGAATGTGGCAAACTCGGGAACTCTAAATCCCCTTGGAAACGAATGAAGTTTGTCTACCCATTCAGGATATGGCTTCCGGTATCCAGGTGGCATGGCAGGTCTTAC